TTCTTCTGATTTCCTGATTGCAATCCCCATTTCTATCAATGTTTGATCTCATTTATGGGAATTTTTTTTTTACTATTTCTATTTCTTCATTGTCTAGGTTGAACTTGTAAAGGTCCTCGGTGCTCATTATTTTTGTTTTCTTTGTGTTCAGCATCAAGCCTGCCTTTGCACTTTCTTCCTTGATCTTCCTTCGTAGTTGTTCCAGGTCTGTGAAGTTCTCTGCTAGTATTATGGTGTCATGGCAAAAAGCTGGATTGGGGCTGTGGCCCCTTAGGGGCCATCTGCATCGGCCCATAGTGAAGATTTTGTAAAAATGTGATGGTTTTAAAGAAAAATTTAAAAAAATTTAAAATTCATTTTTTTTAAAAAAATAAACATTTCAATAAAATTTTGAAATTTGAAAATTTAATTTTAATAAATTCTGGGGCCTCTCCTTTCTCTCCCACTGAGCTTCACCCCACCCCCACCATCTCTTGAAGCATTTTAAAGAGAAGCAAATGAACGCCACAGCCTGTTTCCTGTGAAAAGGTAGGTGTTTGAGAAGGAGTGGTGTCACCCCTGTTAGGGTGTCACCTGGTGCGGTACGCACCCCTGCACTTCTCTAGTGATGCCACTGACTGTTCTGCCTAACCTTTTTGTGATGAATGCTGGTCTTTGATTTCAGAAGGCTCCCTCGTTTTATTGCAATGAATACGTAAGCGAACAAGAAAGAAAGCAGTTATTAAGAAAGTATGAGAGTGTTGTGGTTAGCTGGGAGGGGGGAATCCCTGTAACCTGCAGAAAACCATATAGGTTCTCAGAAACTCCAAGGAAAAAGAGAAACAAGTTAAACATTTACAGGGCAGTCTAACCCATGAGACAAGGCACCTTGGTACTTAGAATCATAGACTTGGAAGAGACCTCAAGGGCCATCCAGTCTAACCGCCTGCCATGCAGGAATACACAATCAAAGCATCACCGACAGATGGTATCCAGGCGCTGTTTAAAGACCTCCAAAGAAGGAGACTCCACTACTCTCTAAGGGATTATGGGCCCCCTAAACCATTTCACGTCTGGTTAAAAATTACGATTTTTAATAAAGAAAGCCTATTGCAAAAAGGCCATACCTCCATTTTTTTTTTTTAGCAAGTAGGTGAATCCTATTTCAGTTCAATCATGGACCAGAATTCGATGTGGCCATAGCACATTAATACCGCATGCAGAACTATGCTACAGCTGGCCATTCACTGACTCCTATACTGCTGCAGCTCCTCAACTCCCCATGGCCATTCCATGTCTGGTGAAAGTGACGTGTGTGTGTGTGTGTGTCAAGAAAACATCTAGCCATGTACCTATAGCCACATGTGAAATGACTGCATCTTCCACCATGGTCTGTAACCCTGGTGGCGCGGTGGTTAAATGCCTGTACTGCAGCCACTCACTCATAGACCACAAGGCTGCGAGTTCAATACCAGCCAAGGCTGAGGCTCTACTCAGGCCTGCATCCTTCTGAGGTTGCTAAAATGAGTACCCAGCTTGTTGGGGGGCAATCAGCCCACAGTTGTAAACCGCTTAGACATCCCATGCGCGATATGAAGCGGTATATAAATGAAGCTGCTTTTGCTTTGTAAACATCCTCCCGCAGTCTAAGTGGATGAGCTCCCTCTGCAAAAGCCAACCCCCCCTAAACCATTTCACATCTGGTTATGGGGACATAGCCAGATGCTCCTCTGATTTCTGCTTCCCCCCCAAGTCATGGAATGGCCATGACAGTGGGCTTAGTGGCTCTATGATAGGTTTAAGGGGGCTTTGGGTTTTGCAGAGGGAAGAAGGGAATACCGACCTCTGCATTGACAAAGAAAGAGAGAGAAAATAACACATGGATGTGTAAGGTGAACTTTAACAACATACCAGCCAGGGCCTTAACAACTGAACTTCATCAGTGGTGAGATTGGTTGATGATTTCACTTGCTGCATAGGGATACCCTTTGACTTTTGTTTGACTCCTTTTTAATGTTTTCCATTGATAATTTCACTTCGCTGGATTTATATTCATTGTGCGGCAATACTGAAAAGTGATCTATTTGAACTGCATATTTTAAACTGGAAGTACCTTAAACATTTCAGTTGAGTCATATACCCTCCAGCACTTCACAGATGAAAACCGGTACACTACTTTTGCACTCTGAACACAGTTTGCAGCAAGTGGAGGAAGCGGAGTAAGTGGAGAAGGAACATGGGAGGAAGAGAGAAAAACAGAGACTTTTAAAAAGCATCCGAAAAAGTGTGATGGCAGAGGATTAATTGGGACTGTTCCTGCCAAATCAGGACCATTGAAAGCTACGCAGTCATAGTCACCCATCAGAACACTCCTTTTTTCCAGTACCATATTTCTCCATGTTCAGTTTCATACATAATTATGTCGTTCTGTTCCCTCCCCATTCAAACACAGTATACATAGTAGAACTGAGACAAAGAGGAACAAAAACAGTACTAGAAAGGGGTAGACAATGTTTCTGATGTTCTGGTATGAGGGACCTCCTCTGCTAGTGTTGGTCTTTGATTCTGTCATGGATGAAGAACCAAAGATTGGTGCACTCAGTATCTCAGAATAAGAAGGATCCTTCAGCGTTTGCAGGCCGTATCTGGAAGAACCATGTTGGCTGCTGGGATGGCCTAGCTTGAAGTAGTCAGGAGGAGATGGGATATCAGATTCAAGACTTTGGTTCTTTTGAATGTGAGCTTGCTCTGTTTCTTGCACATTAATTTTTACTTGCCTCCTAGTCCCTTCCTCATATACATTGGCTCCCAGAGGGATGCCATCATTTGATGAGCCAGTGGTGGGGGTACAGCAGACGACAGAAGGTAGAGATGCTTCCAACTTCTTCCCAAGAAGATGATCTTCATTCTCATTCTCTCGAATTATGGCTAGGAAGCTCACATGGTGTTCCTGTTTAGCTTGTGTCATGGAAATGCCCTCTTGCATCCATCTGCTAATTTCCAGCCAGGATGGTGTACTTGCAGTTGTCCTCGGGACCATGTATGGACTCATGCTTTGATGTGCAGACACTGAGTTTTCAGCAGAGACATCCAAGGCCCTGGCTGTTCCTGAAAAAATGAGATGTCCATCTTTTGTGTACTGCAATGTTGATTGTGCGTGGCCTTTCACAAGAGCTGTAGAAGAAGTAGTTGCAAGGAGAATGTTATCATAATGTTATCAATCTTTTGGAACATTCTGCTCAGAGCTTGAAAATGTTACTTTCTGAACCTCCCAGAACTCCTTGGGAGACTAATGGACTCTCCCCAAGCCCTGCTGATATTACACCAAACATCTCTCTCTCTACATTTATTAATGCCCTGCTTATTCCTCCTGCCTATTAACTTTAGTGATGAAAACAAATGTATCCTGATGCAACTATCTTTCTATACCTGACAGGGCCATCCCAAGACATTTTGATACTTGAGGTACAAGCGCACACAATGCGAATTTCCATCCACTGACAGAAACATGGAATGGAATTTCCTGAGCTCTTCAGAGGAGCCAGCCTTTCTGTCTTTTCCCAGCTGCTCCTTTTGCTGTAGCAGAATTGGGGCAACAATTCTGTGGGAGTCATGATTCACCCATTGCAAATTATCTGGTCTGACTTGGCCAATGAATCTTCAAGTGTGTAACGTGAACTGAAAAGGATGCAACCCACATTGTGGTGGCTGCATTAAAGGTGGAGGCGTCTAGGCTGTTTGATACACACAGAGGATGTCACAACTGGGGCAAATCCTGGCCTGGAAAACAAATCACAGTCTGCAATAACAAATAAGGCATCTGGCCAGCAAATATCTGGTGCAGGAGTGGCAACTAAGAGGCCACAATAGCCACTCAGGAGACCCCGGAGGGCCCTCTATATTTCCCCCAAAAAGTTTGCACCCAAATATTTTTGCTATGTTTTAACTTCCTTAGGTC